ATAAAGTAAAAATATACATAAATAATTTTCGGCCAATTCAAGCCAATCACTGTTATTTTTGGGAAGGAAGTCTTTGTTCCCATTGTCAGCCGATAGTTTCTTTGTTTTTTATTTGAAAAAGTTGCATTAATAAGACAGTAAAATGAAAAACTATCTAAATTCAAATCTTATTTTATCATAATATTTAAAAATTTCTACCATTTAAAAAAAATTCAAAAAATTCTCTCTCAAATACATCACTCTCCTCTCGCTGATACATCCTTATCCCCCTCTTGATACATCCTTCCCCTCTCTGATACATCCCTCTCCTATGTATCCGGATGTCTGCTAATGTTTCCGGAAGTCCAGTAATGTATTAGGATGTCCTATCCCCTCTCTGATACATCCCTCCCCTCTCTGATACATCCCTCTCTTATGTATCCGGATGTCCAGTGATGTATTCGAAAGTCTAGTGATGTATCAAGAAGTCCAGTAATGTATCCAAAATCCATAAATTTTAAGAGATTTTTGTAATTTTTTTAAAAAAGTATGAAATATTGTAATTAAATCTTAACACTGTGAGATTTGTGTAAATTATACTTATAAAATTGCAAATTGTCCATATCCATTCGAAAGTGGGGTGAAAACCGTGGTGATAATTGATAAGAAAATCAAATAATCTCTTTTCAAAAATGAAAATGTAGTGTGATTTTTCTTGCACCTAAATATTTGAGCAAATAAATTAGATAATATTTTTTCATGTCTTTTAAATTACTTCTTACGCTCATTTTTACTTATCACTTATTTCTAAAATAAATTTTCATTTTTATTTATCACTTTTGCCGTGTAAAAAAAAAACAATTAAATTTTTCCATGTTTTTGCCTTAGCATTAAATACTATTCTCCAAATTATTTTTCAAGAGTTAATACTAAACACCAATCAATAGGTTAATGTGGTAAAATACATATATCAATAATTGTCTTCTTAATGAGTGTGTCAAGTCAGACAGTGATAAGTAAAAATGAATAAATGAACTAGAGTACTAATTATTGTAACTTTTAGTAATATTTTTTACATAATTATCAAAATTTTATATTCAAATACATGTCACAACTAATAAGTTTGAATCTCAAAAAAAAATATACCAGGTAAATTAAAACAAAAAAAAGTATATATTATTAAATTCAAAACATAATAATTTAAAAGGATGGAATTATAAATATATAAGTAAATACTTATGTTTATATCAATCTACTAATTCAAGTAATCATTATTAATTAAGTAATTTGGTAAAGTAAAAATATACATAAAATATTATGATTTTTTAAAATAATACTTACAAGATAATTCTTGTGCAAATTCAAGCTAATCACTGTGATTTTTGGGAAGGAAGTCTTTGTTCTCATTGCCAACCAGTAGTTTCTTAAATTGCAAATTGTCCATATCCATCCAAAAATGGGGTGAAAAACTGTAACAAGCCTCCTAGTTATTTTATGAATTTTAACCATTATTTTTATAATAACCGTTTTAATAGCTTTTATAAATAATTCTACTATATTATAAAAGAGAGTTTAGGGCCAACTATAATAAATAATATTCAAGATTGGGACTTTGTCCCAATCTTGAATATTATATATTATATACTTGGACTTTTCCATTTGACATATATATATATATATATATTTCCTACTATATTATAAAAGAGAGTTTAGACAACAAAAATAACATATAGTGGGTCCATTTTAATTTATTTCTCTTATTTTTTTGTTTTTATTATATTTATTATATTTTAAAATTGCGTAAAAATACTATAAATCATGATAATTGACAACATAAAATATGTTTTGAAAAA